AAGACTATAAATTGAACAAATTCAATAGAACACGATTAGATAAAAAAAAAATTTAATAAAATTTCTATTGTTAATTTTTTATTGTAATTATTTTTTCTTACGTAATTTTTATAATTAATAATGTTTTTGTTTAATATTTACTTAGGCATTTGCATTAAATTCAATAATTAACTCCATTATACGTAATAGCTTTACTAAATATCGCATTACGGAACAAATTTCAAAATTTGTATCATGTTTTTTTATGTAACATTTACTGCATTATATATTTTAATATATAACACATTACTAGTATAGGATTTTAATTTCAAAATTGCTTTATATATATATATATATATATATATATATATATATATATATATATATAAGATTGAATAAAAAACTTCTTTATAATTATTTTTAACAATTTGAAAAGTATGAAACATTTGATAAGGATTTAATTAAAAAAATATATAGCTTTAAAGTTCATTTCTTTCAACAGAATTCAAAATATTGTAAAACATTCAATGAGGCATTCATGCCATAATGAGCGCAGTCCGCAATCTTTTTCTTTCCAAGTCTAGCACATTAAGTGTACGGAAACTTTATTATAAGCAGTTGGTTTTATTTTAATAATAATAGTTTACTATATTAATTACAGTATACTGCAATTATATAATGCAATAAAACTTAATAAAAAATCCAATATTTTATATACATTAGAAGTAGTATTAAAATGAATAAAAGTTTTCAATGTTATTGTATATTCTGTTGATATTTATTTGATTAGAGATTTGTTGAAATATTTTTCCTGTAGAATTACTAAGAACTTAACCATTTATCGACTACTTCACTTTAAAGGAGTATAGGGTTCCTCGAAATGATAATCTATGTCGTTACATGACGGATGAAGAATATATATACACTAATATTACGCGTAGAGAAATGTAAGCAATATTAATATTTAATTGTCTGTAATTTAACAAATATATATGTTATTTTAAAAATAAAAAAATTTCAATATTAATATTAAATTAATTAAATCTATCGATTTGATTAACATGACATAAAAATCAGAAAATTAATAATATATTCATTTTTTTCTGTATCGAACTTGTTAAAAATTATTATAATAAATGTTATTTAAAAAATTTTATTATTATACAAATATTCAAGTTAAATATATTCTTTAAAGTTACATAATAATTAACCAATCATTAATCATTCATTCGATCAAGATTTAAAAATTTCACAGTATTAATTATAAATGCACAAATATTGTAAAGGATTCGGTATATTATTTACTTACCTTTTTTATTATACCGTAATGTAAGTAATTTTAAGATTGCAATATTAATTGCAATATTTGCTGTTGCAAGATTTTCTGACACTAAAACCATATCTGTATGAATTATATATAAATCTGCCATTTGTGGCAAAATAATAAAATAGACAATAATGAAAAATGTTCCAATAAATTGTAATGGAAATCTCGTTTCTATTTCTGGCCAAACGCCAATAAATTTCAATATATACCTTTCCCAATTTATTACGATGTCAAAATCTTGTAAAAAAGTATTAGAGATTCTTAATAGTATAAATAAAAAAAAATTAATTTTGTTTAAATATGTAAATTTTTCGTAGAAATATAAAATTAATATAAAATATAAAATTAAAAAAAAATTATTTATATATTATTATAATTATTATATTATTATTATTGTAATATTATTTCCACACCTTGATTTTCCATTTATAATAATTTATTTTGAAATTGTATTGGTATATTTAGTACTTATTTTGTTTATATCTTAAAAACTTTAACTTCTTTTGGAAGTCATAATACTTGTACTTTACAAAATGTATTATTCTACTACAATTTCATAAACATTACGTCTTAAGAATTTCGCAAGGTAGTACTTATCTTGATAGAGTATTATAAAAGTTTAATGAGGTGATTGGTAGTGGGGTTGAAAGAGTTGCCGGTTCTATATCATTCAGTCTTCTGTACTATTTACTGCTTAACATAGACAAATTAAAATTAATATCGATAATAATTATAATTAGAAAATTATATAAAATATAATTTAGTGTTTACTATTATTAATTTTAGATTGAAAATTGCAAGAGATAAAATGATAAGTAAGATAATCGGTAAAGTGAAAATAGTAGGCGGAATTAATTTAATATAGCAATATATTAAAAATTTAATAATAGTATCCAAGTTTAAACTATGTATTATATTTTTATTATTATCTTCAAATCTAGTATAGAATAATTGTAACCCATTTGGAAATAATATTTGAATTGACTTTGTTATACTATAAAAGCTTATATTCCATTCGTAATAAGTATACTTCATAAATACTATTATTATTTATAAATATATCTATTGAAAATTGTGTATATATATTTGGTATTTTTTTAATTAAAAAGAAAATTAAATAATTTTAGAAAACATATTTAATAATACATATCCTTAAAACTTGACTATATGTATAACATAGTATTCAAATTAAAAATCTATAAAATTATATTTAAAATATATTTACATGGTTTTTATGTATAATTTTTTTTTAATTTTTATAAAAATTTTAATAAAAATTTGAGGCTAATGTTATAATAGTTACATAAATCATTGTAATTCATAAATTGGAACTACTATTTGAATATAAATTAATAATATTCTAATTTTTTAACAAATATCTGGATGCAAATATTTTAATGTTTTAATAATTAGATTTATAGTTCGTAAAAAACATATATTTATAGTTATTACTAAGAATTTTATAAAAAATTAGTGAATATTATTTAGAAATTTGTTGTCAACCATATCAATTTATGTGACAAATAACTTTTAATCACGAGTATAATGGGTTTTTAAATCTTTAAAATATAATATTATATTAATTAAACATATTCTTATTTAACTAACAAAATCTACATCTATATAATATTAGTAAAATTTCTATTATTATATTTAGACGCCTATTTTTGAGCTTCAGTGTATGTGAACGAGTGTTAATACGTATGAAAACTTTTATCTTATCCTTTCCAGTAAAGAGTTTTTAAAGACTATTCGATTTATAACTGTTTTGACTTAATGATTTCTGCAAGAGTAATAATAATACCTTAAATCTGCTTGTAAGTACCTCCTACATATTTCTTTCTTTATCGTTGCTAATTTCTCTTTTTTTTAATTTTTATATTCCTGTCATTTTTTAGATTTATTAATTTTAAACTTATTTGAATTGGTTCCTACGTAATGCAAATTTGTACGTGTTTAATATATGTTCGTATTTTGATGAATTTTTTCAAATACTGCAATTATAATTTATATTCTATTCATTTTAGTTATATATCTAGAAATAATCAAAATAATATTAATTAGTAACATTTTTCGATCTTTTATCAGCTGTGAATATAAAGAATATATAAAAATTTAGTACAAACAGTTTTCTATTTATTTGTCCCTCTACAGAGTTATATATATCATTTATGTTCTGATAACTAAATATTCCAAATTATTATTTATAATGTGATTCGCGATTGATCTTAAAATTTTCTACATTTATTCTTTCTTAAATGTGGTGAACTTGAAATAATTTTTTTTTAAAAGTAAATATCAATCACTAATAAATCATTTACATTCTGCGTCAATAAGAAATTAAAACTTATAATACAATGATAAAATAACTTTGAAGTGATAATTAAGCCCATATTAACTTATCTATGTATAATATTATTTTTTCTGTATCTTCGAATAAATATGCAATATTATTGTGTTTCTTTCAAATTGTTTTATAACAATTCATATGTAAGTATATTTTAATAATTTGTATAACGAAATTGCGTATTTATTTTTACAATCAATAGAAAAAATCTTTTGTACTTACCTCAATTTCATATATTTACATACAATAATTAATAAGTTTCCTTCATAACGGCTATATAATTATTAAATCAATGTTTAAAGACAGATTTTATTTTTAAATAGTATTTATATTTATATTATTATTAATGAATGTAATTATTCATTTTCTCATGAATAAGATATGCAGCTCCTTATATATATATGTTTACTTTATAGTCATTTATAAAAGTTATTTATAGCTTTCTTAATAAAAACTTTAGATATTTAATTTTAAATTCTTTAATACTTCATTTATTTATGATCGTAATGTAAAAATAATTTGGAAGTATTTGACTAATAATAAGAAATATATTATATAACAATTAAATTAATGTATCGAATTAATAACGAATAATATTTTTTTAACAATTATCTTTTGTAGTAAAAGCATAATTTTTTGTTAAATAATGTGATATGGTACTTAAGCATTTCTGAGAAATATATTTACGAATAAATAAATAAATTACCTGCTATTTGAAGAATCAAATATTCTATACAAGATGAAATATAGATAGCGACTAAACAAACAGAACTTGAGTTTTTTAACAAGTATCACTGAACTATTCCTTTTTTATTAAAATAATTTTCATTTTTTGGTCATGATTATTTGTAAGAAAATAAAGTAAAAAAATATGATTCTTTGAAAAATAATCATCGTAGAACGCCTTGATAAATATCATTTGGTTACAATTTATATTTGTTAGTATTAATTAGTAATAAATAAATATTTTATGTGAAAATTTATTTATATATTTTTTTCAATATAAAAAAGTAACGATACCTCTAAATATGTAGCCTATAATTTAATATACTTATCTTACTCGTTCATTTACAAACATGAAAAGGAAATCTCTTTCTTTGAAATTGAAATAAATCATTACAATTAAATTTAATTATTGTAATAAAAATATATCATTATTTATATACCTTTAAAGCAAAACTTTTAAGCTAAATTAAAATCTATTAAAATGTCAAATGTATTAGAGTGATTGTTCAGGAACATTCAATGAATTATTTGACCATATAATAGTGATTTATTTAGTGACTAAAATATTTTTACTATATTATATAATAACTGTTAATCTCACTGTATATTTTTCTTTGTTCATTATTTGTCTTTAATGGCAATCAATACTGACAAGTAACTTGCAGATGTTTTCATTAGCTGCATCCACGTTATAAACAAAACAAATACATTTAGCTGTAAAACTAGAAATGAAATAAAAAATAATATAAAAGTTTCTTACAGAGGTAAACGTATTCAAAGAAAATATAAAGAATTTTCCAGCTGATATTTGAAAAGGTTTTTGTGATCGATAAAGAATAAGCATCAATGATTTGATTTCTGAAGTTTCCATTTGATACCAGGAGCATTGATATGTTGCGTGTCCTACGTCAATACTCTATTGTAATATAAAACTCTTTAAGTAACTCTCAAAATATTAATTCCATATAGAAATACATATTCTAAGTATTAATATGTATTGATTTTATATTTATTAATCATAATAATTAAATTAATCTCCATATTGGCTGAATTTTAAATATGTTAACTCAGAAACGGTTAATACTGTTAGTAAATTTTAATATACTAAAAAATATTAAAGTAATGCTAGTCGTAAGTTATATAAAAAAGACAGTAATTCTAGATTCCTTTTACATATTACACTTTATTAAAGAAATAATTCTTAGAAAAGATTAACGATTGAGGAATTTAAACAATAATAAATGAATTAATAATGAATAAAATTTCTTTTAATGGGAAAACAGAAAATGAATGAAAAATTTTAATTATTTCTTATTTGTAAATTTTTACATTTATAATAAATTTATAATATATTATTTGTAATTTCAGATTCATTTTTGTATATATGAAAGCTCTAATTAAGCAAATTATAAATATACTACTATAAATTCAAAACTTGTACCAACTAAATTAATTCCTAATGAAAGCAGAATTACACAAAATACTTTATGTTAAATTTCAATAGTAAATTTATTTTACAAGAAAAAAATACTTATAGGTCATAATTAATATACGATCGCTATTAGATAAACAAAGAAAATTATCGAATTATTAATGCTACTACTTTTTGCTTTGGGAAAAATTACTTCCAGCTTTTGACTAGTTGAATTTCAAACTGATTTTCTTTTGATAAATATTTAATGCCAAATATCCTACTAAATGTCACCAATCAGTAAAGAAATTAGATATTGTCAATCAGATTATTTGTAGGAAGTATTTCTTAATGCACGAAACGATAATAATAATCGATCGAGATTACCGTAGTTTACCTTTTATAAATTAAAAAAATAAATATTACTTACAAACAATATGAAGTTTATTTGTTAAAAATATTATTTTTGCTTAATTGATATTTATTATTCTAAACTGAAACAGAATATGAAAACGTAATTGCTTCAATTAAATATATTTAAAAATGTTTGGCTTTGAAAAAGCTTTGAAATTTCTATTTGTTTGAAAAATGTAACATAATTATTTTATATTTAATTAAAATTTTAATTTGTTTCATTTAAACTACTATTAATAAAAAAATATGTTTAACTAGAAAAACATCGTGAATTGTGCTTATAGCTAACTACTACGATCCTGAATTTTCTTGAGTAAAAACTTTTATTTTCATTGCAGACATATTAAGTTACTTATATATGTGTATAAATATGTGTGAATAGAATTTACGAATACTTACTTTTGAACGGAGTTGTTCTGCTACATAACAGCATACAAATAAATTACTTGATAAATACGTAAAAAATCCTATTACAAATATTATTTCCATGTATGTCCCAGTTTTCTCAAATAACATCTATTAAATATTCAAAAGTATACCATTGAAAAAATAAAAATAATAAAAGTATTTAATTTATGCAATTTACCGTTACAGCTCTAAATCCTAGTAAGCAAAATATTAGTGTAAAATTTACCAATTGCATAAAATTTATAGTTGTAAAAATATCTTCAATTTCACTTGAAATTCTAAACAGAATTGTATATTTTTACTTCATATTATGTAATTTATTAATATTAAATATTAAACAATATGAATAAATTCTTTTATGTATAGTTAAATGCTTTGGTTTGCATTCAGTTAAACGAATAAAAATATAAAATGTTATTCAGTAAAAAAATAATTAACTGTAAAGACTAAAAATTCAAAAATTTTGATTTTCAAAAATCTTTAAAAATCATATTTTAGAAAGGACCGGTTAACTACAATATATATTATTAATTAATTCAATAAAATTATCAATGATAAAATAAATGGTAACAAAAATTTTATAAAACCTAAATAAATCATTGTGTTGTTCGACGATAAAAGATATTTCCTTTTTTATATGAACATAATTTTTATTTTTCTTGAGATCCAGATCTTCTAAAGTTAAACTCTGAATGCGATTGCTTAAAATATTTAATTTAGCACATACGTGCATAACTATGATAATAAAAAAGCTTTCAATGCCTATAAATGCCGCAGTGGCAATAAAAGAGGATAAGCATTGAAATATTAAAGTTATTTCATAATTTGGCGATTTTTCATGTTCATAAGGGATGTAAGACACCAAATAGCTTAATCGCACACCTGAGTAAATGGTACATTGCAGATATATATGGGATATCAAATAAGATAAGCAAGAACACTGTCCTACAATAATACAAAATTTTGATAAACTTTTAGCTGTTTTTGCACTTTCATTCATGATTTCCAATTCTTTATTTGTCTTCAATTTGATCCAATCATTTTTTGCCATCAACGTTATATCTTGCAAACCTTGCAACAATTAAGAAAAATTTAGTCTTTCAATTATATATTTTTGTAGTCGGTTGTATTATGTTAAAAATAATATCAATAATAGGTTATAAAACATTATTAAAATTCATATGTAAATTGATTAAATATTAATTTATTCAATAGTATTTACAGAATTTTAATTATTTTAAATTTTTTATTTTGTTTAATATAATTATAAAAATTGTTCAAGATATTCTAAGTACAAGATCATATGAAATATGAAGAAACTGAATAATTTCAAATAAACTGAATTATATTTCATAGTCAAGAAATATGAAACTGAATAATTTCAAATAAACTGAATTATATTTCATAGTCATTTGATAAAAACAAAGTATTGCATACTTATAAATTATTAAAATAAAAATGATATCAAATACTTTAAAGTTTCTCAATAAAAGTATGAGATGTAATATATATACCTTTTCTCTTGTATGAAAACAGTACCAACATCATCATAGAATTAGCTATTGGCAGATCTGCTGTTGAAAGAATAGTAATCAGCATATTCAAATCGCCCCAGTATAATATTAATTGTGCCGTTTGCATCATATTTGCAAAAATAATCATAATTAATATACTTGAAAAACAAAGTATTTTCGAAAGAACTCTGACAATAAATGATTCAGATTGTTTAGGCCATGCCCCGATACAAAGAAGACAAATATAACTTAGCTTAAAGACAGAGTGAAAACCTAATTAAAAAAATTTTCATGAATAATAATTATATTTCATTCATTTATGTAAAATATTCCTAATTATATATTCATAATGAAAAATAAGTAAGTTTTATATTGAATATTTCATATTTTATATGATATATGATATTTTATAAATAATAAATTTTTTTATTGTTCAAAACCTTCTAATTTGTATAATTAAATTTAGTATTATTAAAATTACGAATAATTTGTTAATGAAAATTTTTTTAAACTAGAAAAAGAATATAATGGCTTTAATTATGATTATCACCTTCATGACCATCCATTGACGCTTACAAGCATAAAATTTCTTGCCAACTAAAGTCAAACCTTATATTACATTCATGTACGCGTGCGCATAGTTTATGAAAGGAAAGTCGAAGATAATGCACTGAACATACATTATATTGATGGAACTATCAAAAGAATAGTATTGAATAATCTAATAATTTAATAATCTAATAATGTGTCACGATGATAATTAAATAATATTACTAATTATCCAATATTCCTTATAGTAAATTTGATGTTAATACTAAACTTACATATAATCTAGACGGCTTAAATAATTTTTCTTAACAATAATACTGTGTTAAATTTAATTCATAATGCATCGGTTAATAAAAATATTAACATATATTAAAGAATGTATATCACAATTTAATTTCCTTTTCTTATTTTATTTAATATATTATATAAAAATTTGTTTACATAATATAATAATACTGTTATTTTAAAATAAAGTGAACATTACTGTATTTTACATATTTTTTGTTTTCTTACTTAAAATTCTTTAATTTCGGAATTGTTCAATTCTAAAATATCAATTATAAAAGAAATCAGTACATAATATGTTTAATATTTGAAAAAATTCTATTACTCCTATTTTATAAAATAAAATCAAAGAAATAAAAATCATATTGTTCCTCGTAAGTTTTAAAATCAATAGAAATTTATTAACGGAAACAATGTAATTGAAAGAAAAATCATTAAAGTAATAGAGAACGAATTAAAAGAATAATTTAATCAACATTTTAATCAACAACATCATATGTGTAAATACCAGTATAATAAATGAAAACAATAATTTATAATTTAAATTACGAATATTAAAAAAAAAAAATTTTTTTAAGTCATAATAATAATTAAAACACTTTTATCAGTAAAGATACAAAAGAGGATGCGTATAACAAAATCTTTTCGTATACGGACCACAACCAGTAAAGAAAATAATTATACTCTGAAAAGTTTTGAAATAAAAAAATAATGTGCGTGTTATGCGTGGGAGAAAATAACCCCACAAAATTAGAATCATATCGGCTAAGTGACTATCAATAAGCAAGCAATAATTTTATTTCTTTTGTACTTTTGTTTGTATATTTTGGGTTACTTAAACATTATATAAATATATAAATATATATATATATATATATATATATATATTTATTTATTTATTTACTTATAAGACGATTACTTTTGCAATTAAAATATGTATAATAAGAATGAAATGAAAAACAATTTAAAATAAAATCGAAATTTTGCTCGATATTTACAACTACTTACTTATAAAAGAGAATAACTATCAAAGTTTTTCGAAATCAATTATGTAAAATTAGTTAAACATTTACCTGGCAAGTAGATTTCATTAATATTAATTTAGTAATCAACAAGTATTATGGGATTAATATTAATCATTAATATTACGTGATATGACGTAACGCGATTATGTATCGTGCACTTATTTGAGAATCGATATAAACCTAAATTTTTAAATTAATTAAATTTCTGAAAGTTCGAAGTGATGTTTATTCAAATGCATAAAAATCAGAATTTTAATTATTATTCGTAATACGTTTCATATTTAAAGCATCATAATTATGAAGAAAAATGCGTTAGTCGATTATGTCATTAAGATAAAAAGATATCTAATAAAAACTTATTTATACCTTTATATATGATATGTATGACTTAATTATAAAAATAGTTTCAATAATTGTAATAATAAATAGAATTTTTTAATTGAAAATGCAATATGAATTTCATCAAATTGTACCAAAAAATAAAGATTATATTATATTATAAAAATGGATATAATGGATATACGTTGTTAATTAAATACATTATCGTATTAAAATTGTTTCTGTGATAATTTTCGAATTATTACAATAACAAGAAATGTTCATCGCGTATAAATATTAGATTAAAAAGTATAAAAGGGTTCAATGATGATACAATCATGCTATACTTTATTTGAATCATGTTTACTATTGTACGAACTTTACAATTAGATATATTAATTATATTATTTTCTTAATAGTATATGATACAAGTGTTTGTTAATACAAATAAAAAGATTATTTTCATATTATACAAACTATAAAAAAAACCTTGACTATATTTGCATTTTAATTCTTGCTTAGAAAATATTCATTTGTTCGAAATTTCCAGAACCCTTCCCAAGTCATTAGACATCTGGAAAACCCAAGTCATTAAATATTTGGAAAATCCAAGTCGTTAGACATCTGACAAATCCCCAGTCGCTAAGGAATCGAGGGAATGCTCAAGAGTATTAGCCATCTGGAGAAAAAGTCGTTACATCGAAAAGAAAAAATAAGTGCATAGTTGCATCCACTTCTTGTAGCACCACAATCACCTCCATTGTTGTCAGTTCTAACTGTCCTATCGCGTGGATATTTAAAGCAAACACACGTCAAGACAGTCGCTAGTCAGAGTTGGTCAGTCAGAGGTAGTCAGCCATGAGCTATTCAGCCATAAGCTAGTCACTCAGAAACACAGGCGCTCCCTTTGGGGGGTACGCCATGGAAGGAAGTCGGCCTGTCTTAGCAGATCCCCATGGAAGAGATGCTCCCTTACTGGGCATTCCGCAGAAATTAGAGGTGCTCTCGTAGAAGGGACGCTATAAAAGTCACCGGCGCTCTAACATTGGGGTATTCAAGAGAGGAGGAAGCTCTCCCGGTAGAGTCGTTACTCAAGTTAGTCTATGCCATCGCAAAGTAGCTCAAGGTGCTATAGCCATCTATCACTCGGTAGAGTTTCTCAAGGATTCAGTGCGAACGCGCACTTTCTCATATTCAGTGCCGACGTGCACTTTCTCATATTGAGTGCTGACGTGTACTTTCACATATTCAGTGCCACCACGTACTTTCTCAAGGATTCAGAGCTACTACGCACTTTCTCAAAGAGGTGATCATAAGCAGGTGACCATCGCGTGTGTGGACACGAAGAAGTGTCCAGAGATTTACGACCTCACACTTCTCCATGTAAACATCCGCCATGAAACTGCATGATCTCAACGATTTTCATCACCAGCATTATACCACAATCATTATAGTGTATTTTCTAAAGTAAAACGCAATAAACAGCACGAGAAATAGGTGTGTCAAATATTGAATTCATGCGCTACCCCTTCCCACTTACCCACACTTTTCTCCCTTGGACTTCGTCTAATTCTAAACATTTTGCTCCTTCGAGCCAGATAAGTGGAAGTTAGTGCATTCCTTCAGTATTAATACAACAGAAGGGATGTACTACTAAACTCTCTGATCATATACCATCGTAACATTGCAGTTCCTATCATAATGATACACGGTAACTGCATCACAACGGAAACGGATCTCCGCACCACTGTAATTATTCCATTGTTGTTGTCCTCTTATCTACGTTACTATTAAGAAAAAGCAAAACTACGAGAAGAAAGAAAAAATGGAAACTATAATTCCTGAAATGTCCATTGCACAAGAAAGGGAAGAATGTATAACCCGCGACGTCGCTACAGATCGAGTAGCACTGGGATTTTGAAAGCTCAAAGTCAGTTTAATCTTATTGAAACAATAAAGGAGCTAGCTAAAGGGGTCCCTTCATCTCATTTGGATACATCCATCAAAGAAGTCCTAGGCATAAACGAACAAAACAAGGAAGTGTCATCATCTGACCACAATCACCTATGGCACCAGAGCCATTATTAGCAGTCAGAACATTGCGGCAACTGGTAGAACACGAGGGAGAGAAGTACCCTCTGGCAGTGCCATCAATCATTCATGGCAGATATGTCCATGATATTTTTGGAGATGTGGACACGTATCAACAGCTAACTGAAACCGTAGTCCAACAACAGAACCACCGCATGGCGGGCTGTTTCCCATATGTTCCCCATGGTAAAATGGCACTTAACTTGACCAAACATTATTGATAATTGACTTTCTCTCATTATTATTTATTTATCCTTGATTCTTTTACTAATGATTGAGAGTAAATTCATGAATTCATACTTATTTTAAATAAATATTTATAACTTCTTAACCTTTACAAAATTTGGAAAATCTCTTCTAGCAGAAGTATAGCCCCTTATATAGTAAGTGATATTGTAGAATTATTTGAAATTATGATCGAAGAAAGTTTAATAATAATTTCTGATATAATAAATATATTATAAGCAACATAATTTAAATACCTCCCGTAGTATTTAATTTGTATTTATAATAAAAAATTATATCTGAACAATATAAAAAATACTTATAACATTTAAGAATAATCAAGATAAATTTATTACAAAATATTATATTAAAAATATAAAATATTTAATAATTGATGAAGACAGAAAGGATTAGAGTGATAGAAAATTATAAAAAAGTAAACAAAATATATTTTATCCATTATCTACTTAATTGTATAAATACATGACAACGTAAAGATAAAATAATTCTAAAAATATTAAATTAACTTTGATATATTAAATATTTCATTGTTTTTGTTTTATTTGAATATTTATCATCGGAAGTGAAACATTTTTTGAATGAAAAATTTTTCGGAAGCGTGCGATCAACTAATTAATATCAATTAGTATTAATTTCAACTAATTAAATATACAAATCAGTAAAGAAATATAATATTAATAGGATGTAATTTAGGATGTAATGCAGAGATAGAATGTAACATCTACATACATCTTAGTTATACGTGGGTGCGTTTTATTATATATATATATATATATAAGTGGACGTGCAAAAAGCTATTTTATATAAAAATATCTTTGTTAAAAGTGATATAAAATGTACAAATATTCGTAAGTTGTATAATAAGCAAACAAATAAACGCGCTTGAACATTTCATAAGTACAGCGACATAGTACTGATAATCGAATATCTTTCACTATTGTTAATAATTAACTGAAATTCAAATTATATTTAAGAAGCTCCATTTAACAAATTGTATAATTCATAAAACGTGTAAATATATAAAGACTCACGGTAATCAAAATATAAAACTGCATACAGAGTAACACAGTACACGAAAAGACTTCAACATCAAGAAACATAAAGTTGAATATATTTTCGATTTCTTTCGCAAATCTGTAAAACATTTAAGCTTGGAATTATAAATACATATTATTTTCTTTCAAAATAATTTACAGTGGAAAATTGTTTTGAAGTTCAATATTTATTTCCACAAATTATTTATATTACAATAAAATATAAATTTAACATATCATTACAATAAAGTTTTTCTCTAAATCCTTCGTTGAGAAATTTCACCTTATTTGGGTAATCAATAGTTTGAAAATTATTATTTTATACACGTACGTATTAATATGCACTTACTCATTTTTACACTTCATTAATGATAAATTGCAACACAAATGTTTATTATTGAATTTTAGAATATTTACTTATAAATTCGTAAATACTAATTATTACGTATAATATAATGTAATATACATTTTATAATTTTTTTTCCAATATTAAGAAAACCCGGTTTTGGAATGAAGCTATAAACAAATAGATAATTATATTAAATGAATTACAAACCATCTTTTATATTTTGTCTCTCAAAGCTATTAATATTGATAAATAACGCACAGAAGTTATAATGATCTAAAAATGAAAAATAGCATGTTAAAATATATAATATACATGGTATCTTATTGAAATATATCGAAATGAACAAACTTGAGAATACAAACGCATAGAAATAGGAAACAATTTTCCTGCAGATATTTGTAACGGTTTCCCTGCTCTTTGCATCACAATGATTAATAATTTGGCATCACTGACTGATAAATTATACCACTCGTAATTATAGGCAGATTGGCTGATAGATAAACCCTAAAAATTTCAATTATAAAAAGTCTTAAATAACAGGTAATTTTTTTAAACCGAAAACACAAATGGAATAAATAAATACGCATAAATAAAACTAATGGATCTTTATTATATTCAAGATGTTTGTAATAATTTTCATGATTTTTAAAAATTAAATACGGCATTAATATTTAAATATATATTATTAATATTATTATTATAAAAATAAAAGTTTAACTGGTATTTAAATAATTTATTTCTTTAATAAAATAATATAATATATATTATGTTATCTAAAGTATATCTAAGCATATACGTGCATATGTATGCACAAATTTATATTAAAGTAAGCTATCTTTATATAATAATATATTTGTTAAAATTAAAATAAAATGGAATTATTTTCATACCTCATCTCGCAGTTTATCAGTTGTATAACAACAAACAAATAAATGCGCTCCAACATTTAATAAATATAGTAACAGAGTACTAATAATCGGATATTTCTTACTATCGTTAGTAGTTAACTGAAATTTAAATTATAATTAAGAAGCTCCATTAAAAAAATTGCATAATTCATAAAACGTGTAAATATATAAAGACTCACGGTAACCAAAACATAAAACTGCATACAGAGTAACACAGTGCAAGAAAAGACTTCAACGAGAAACATAAAGTTGAAGATATTTTCGATTCCTTTCGCAAATCTTTAAAACAGTTAAGCGCATAATTATAAATATTTATTATATCGTCTCTTATAAATATGAATGCGCGCACGCGCGTGTGTGTATGAATGTATGCGTGTATGAGTCTGTGCATGCGTGTATATATGTACGAATATATGTATGTATGCGTGTATGCATGCTTTTATTTATAAATGTTTTTATACTTTTAATTAATTAATTAATCATTACTTGTTAATATTTTCGTGTTTCATAACGATAAATTCAATTTTCTTCCTAATCATCTTGTTACGGTCGTAAATATCAAGCTTTTCTAAACGTAGTCTCAAATTACTTATTTGACAACGTAAATGTAGTACAAGTCCAATGAAAATTCCAGTGACTCCCGTGTGGGCTATCGTGGTTAACACAGTAGCTATGTATTGCAAGAGCCACGTAATCTCGTAAACCGGACTTGAATTAATATCATACCAAAAATATGAACTAATCATGGGAAATTTCCTATCTGCATGACCTGCATGAATATCTATATCTTGACCGATGGTCATAAGTAACAGTCCTTCTATTGAGAGGAATCCTAACGTCATACAGATTAACAATATTTTACGAGTTACTGCAGCGTCTTCCCTCATGTTTCTCGTCTCAATTTTCGTCTTTCTGGCATTCCAAGCATCGATCACCAACGACAATGTAATCACCAATTCTATAATTATTACAACCATTCAAGATGTAATCCCCAGTTTTTTACAGTTATAATAAATATTACCCAATTATGAATTTCCTAATTACTTTACAAGTAAAAATGTTATATTATTAATGGTATTAATCAATACCTTGAAGCAAGCTTTTTTATTACCATATTTATTCATTTATTAAACAATCAATAAAATTCATAACTTTTGAATATTTACATATGTTACATTTGTTATGTTAAATTTGTTTGTATTAAATTTTAGAATATCAAATATAAATACTCAATCAAGGTACCATTATGCTTATTTAAACGTTTTTTAAAATAATTTTCATTCTTGTAAATCATACTTTTAGAAGTTTAAATGCCCTACATTGAACATATATATATATATGTCAAATATATATATATATATATATATATATATATATATATTTGAAAATTAAGTTAGATAATAAGAAAATAAGATAATAGGATATATACTTGAATATTAAAATTCTATAATCGGTACAGATTATTTTAGAGTGTAAAGTATATTCTAGCATTTATGTTCTACTATAAATAATGATATTATTGAGGTTGAAATATATTTACACATATGACATTAATATTTTTAATTAAAACTTTGATATTTTGATTTTATATATCTATAATAGAGGATTGTGTATAATTAACTATAAATTAATTACATTTTAATATTGAGTTGCAAATTTCATAAATTTTATAAGTTTTATAAGTTGCCCGATCCCTTTCATATTTCAACTTATCATAGAAATAATTTTACATAAATGAAATAATAACGTATGAAGTTTTACATAATAAAAATATACCTTTTCTGTGGCGCCGAAATTCAAACATTTTAAGCACAACCATGGCAATTGGTAAGTTAGATAAAAGATTGTCGATTACAGCGTTCAAATCACCCATTACTCTGATAAGTTGTAGTGTTTGTGGTATAGTAATAAAACTTATGATTGTGGTAACGGTTACGATGAAAACAATCAGTGAAAATAGTTCTTGATGTTTTGAATTATTGGAAGCTGGCCATAATCCAACTATTGCAAGATTTAAACGGCATAGGCCAAAAACGTAATTATAATCTGTAGTAGAAGACAAATAAATAATTTTTATTAATTACAAGTAATTTTTTATTAATGAACTAAATTATAATTATATATTATAAAATTACTTATAAGACCGTTTAAAATTTTTTACACAATAACTTCTAATAGCTTACGGATTTAAGTATTTGAACGTGTGCAATAATTATAATAATTTTATATCTTTATATTCTAATAAGAATGATGGTTTTTCAAATTTAATTAAATACAGATATAAAAATTTATATCTTTTCATAACGAATTTGTATACAAATTTATGTTGTTATTAAGTGAATGATTTGAAATAAGTACTATCAAAATAATTAAAACGGGTAAAAAATGTACACTTTATACTATTGAACTAAAATAATTTTTTTTAATGGTACAGTAATATAAATCTTTAATTTATATTTGAATTTTTTTTTAATTTTAATCGTATAAGTTTAGTTAATATATAAATAATTATTAAAAATAAATTAATTTAAACCATATAAAGTTTACTTAGGTTAGAGCAATACATTATGATTTATATATTATAAATCATGAACAATAGTCAAATAATATTACGTACAAAATAAGATACAAGACAACGCATTTCATATTAATCAATCATTAACACGAATAAATTTATTTCATAATTTTTAGTAATTTATTTTTTAACTAATGTTTTCTTTACAAATATAAAAATTGACATATAAGCGATGAAACTTATATATTACCATCGCATATTCCAAATTTTTTAATACAAAGTTATCAGATATTTTTATGGATTATTGAGTTGTACATAAATTATATATCTATATATATATATTATAGTCATATCATTTTAAATAAGAATTTAAGTTTAAAAATTACAGTTTAAACTGTATTAAAACATGTTTGTAGTTAGTAATCATGTTCAAGAACCGCTTTTATTAATTTTTTCAATCACATCCAATCTTTATATAGTATATTATTGATTATTCTTTATTTAAACTATAATGTTTTAAATATGTATAGTAATGAAGTAATAATTATGCATAACAATGAAATAATAATAAAATAACATATTATAAATAACATATTATAATAACATAATATAATAATGTATTATAACGTATAAATTATTCTATTGTTTATAAAATATTATTTAAAAAGCCGAATAATTAAAAGTAGATATTTAAATATTTTATATTTTTATTGGAAATAAATTACGTACCCTTCCTCTTATCCAGTTCCATATTTATAAATGACTGATATAGACACTAAGAACACGCAATTAGTAATGTGATGTTACAGTTTCAAATTATAAATGCCTAAGTTATTATCAAAAGCACTTTTTTAGAAATTCACTTTTCAGATATACTGAATAACATAATGTTACACTTATTATATTTCATTATACACAGTTGTTTTTTTTATATTTATGAGTAATAACATTACAATTTTATAACATATTTGCCATGAAACAATTTAATAGAAAATTATGAATCTTATAATTTTATATAAGACTTAAAGACAAATTTTAATTTCTTCATATTTAAAATAATATAAGAAACGTCTAATTAAAATGGATTTAGTCGAATAATAGATTGAAATTCAGAAATAAATAAAACTAGTTATTCAACTTCATACTTGTATTTACAAATGAAGAAGATGGAATATTATTGAAATATTGTCACAGAAGTATTCTAAATAATCAAGAAATATATTTAGAAATAAGTAAGGCTGAATATTCAACTTTCTAAATATATTATAAAACAGATAAAATATTTGATTTTAAATTAAATTATTATATCTAATATTTATATTATAATAATAATAATAATAAACACGTAGGTAACTAATGAATCCACAGCAACACTAGAAAGATCATACTTATCGAATAATGCATTGGTAAATAGAAAAATCAATATTACCAAGTGTTATAATTATAATTTTGAATTATACCGAAAGTAGGATTTTTCGATAAAGTTTTAGTAATGACTAATAATTAGTGTATTAAATGTCGGATTTCATATTACAAAACATCATATCTACTTGTTATTATCAATTCTACACCTGAAAATGAATTATGAATTCTTTATTAATCATAGGTTAGTACATCAATACCTAATTACAAACAGATACAAAGCAAAAATAATTGATTTTGTGTACGCTTTGCTTATCCTCCATCACTTATGCCATTAATATCACAGTACCATGAAAAAACATGAATTTCGAAAACTTTATATAAAATACCTGAAAAGTATAATTAGTACATTCTTTCAAAACGGCTTCACCGTTTCATTTATTTGTAATATAATCTTATAATAATAGTTACTGAATTTCCATTCTAACTTCTGGATCAAATTAATTTAATTCATTTAATATTCTGATACAAGTGTATATTACAATGTTTTGAGTTATTAGGCCATAGAAAATTGTTGAAATTAACTCATAAATCTCCTAAAGTGATTTGGCACTAATCTTGTTCATCGATACCTTAAGTGCAAAAGAGCAGTTAATATTAAGAAAAGATTAATAGAAAATCATAAAGTATTATATTCAGACACTTACGGAAGATCTTTCAGTTAATTAAAATGAAGATAAATTAATGTATAATTTTTTTAATTTATTTGTTAATTTCTGCTGTTAAATTAAATATATGAGATTAAATTGAATGAAGGTACAATGTTTAAAAACTTTTCCCATGATATGTTATATTTATTTTTCTGACAATATTGAATATATTAAATTTTTTTTAGTACTTGAATAATTTATCTATTATAATTACATTCCTAATTATTCGGAAATTTACAATTTATTATATGAACAATTGCTCTGCGGCATGTATAGCTAAAAATATTTAAGTTAATTTACATCAAACAATATAATAATGTTTTATAACACATGTATAAATATTAAAATAGTAATTATGTTATTATTTTCTAAATTATAATATCAATTATTATGCTCGGTCTGTTACTGCTAACAGCATTGATAAGTATGCTAATGAAGTTTTTAGAATCTGCAAACATTTATTATAAAGTTACATACGTAAATTCTATTATACAAATTAATTTAAATGTAACGTACTAACTTGAGTAAATTGTTTTAAAGAAAGTGTACAAAATTTTCCAGCAGTTACTTCTAATGGTGTTCTTGCTCTATGCATCAAAAGAATTAGCAATTTTGTATTCTGTGTTGAAAAATTGTACCAATGGCAATTATATGTAGATTCGTGTATAGATAAACTCTAAAATATAGAATAGCTCGTAATGATTTAGATAGAAAAGGTAAGAAATATATGTAAAAATATACAAATGATTTAAAATTATAAATCAAAAATATAATTTATAATTATTAAATTGATTAGCAACTTGAAGTGAAATATTAATGAAATTGAAGGGTTTAAATATCTACTTATATTTTTTTATCGAACTATTTGAATTATAAAGTATTAATTAAAAATTCAAAAAACATTTTTAAGTAATTTATTTATAAATAATACATACCTCCTCACGTAGTTTATCAGCGATGAAACAACATAAAAATACATGTGTTCCAATATCGGAAATGTATATCACCATGAAGATTATTTGAAATATTGGCAGATTCTTTTCTTTCGAAAGTAACTATATTATATTTATACTACTATAATTAAATATTAAATTGCTTAAAATTTTTTTTTATATTTTTCAACGAACTTACAGTGACCATGATAAAAATTTGTAGACAAATTTGTACGGTACACGATATAATTTCCAAAAGAAATATAATATTAAAAATATTCTCTATT